CCTTCTTGCTTTTTTCTTACTTATACTTGTTCTCTCTCCCTGTACTCTCTCTCTCACTTGTTCTCCCTCTCCCTCTCTCACTGTTTTTCTCTCTCTAAATCTGTCTTACTCACTCTGTTATTCTTTACTTCCCACTTTATCTCTTTATCTCATTCTCTCACACCCTTTCTCCTCTCTCTCTCCCTCTTTCTCTCATCTTCTCTTACATGCTTACCGCTCTCTTTCTCTCTCTCTCTCTCTCTTTTTCTTTCTCACATTCTCGCTTTCTTTCTCTCACTCACTGTTATTTTCTCTCCCCCTTTCTCTCTCTCTCTCTCTTTCACTTGCTCTCACTCCCTCTCCTTCACTTCCCCATCGCTGCAGCTTTCACAGCTTTTCCTCCATCCGCAGTCCTGTTCTTTGTCCTCCTCCTTCTTTCATCTTCTTGCTCTTAGTACTGATGTGCTATTTATTTGCTCCTCAGTGTGTAAATGAAGTGAATAATAAATCAATAAATAAATGAGGAAACAATAAATAATTTTTAGAGTTCATGTTGGTTGCAGGTGACTTTCAGTCGGTTATAGTATTTAAAGGGCCCATATCTTGTTTTTTTCTCAATTTTACTTATTTATTTGATATATTTTTTATGTCCAATCATGACTTTTTTTAATTTATGTAGCAAAAACATAATTAATTTATACATGACTATTTTGTAGTCTTTCCTAATTCCTTAGAATTAAACAGTTGTTACTGTGCCTTTAAGACTGAGACAAATAAATGAGCTCTCTTCTAATTGGCTGCCATGTTTTGTGTCTCAATTCAAGAGGCAGTTTGGGTCATAGTAGCTTTAATGTGAAGGGGGGGGTTAAACTTCTGTAGGCTAATTGGGTAGATATGTGTGTTGTGTTTTGCCACATCAGAAAACAATGAATTCAAAATAGGCTGTTTTTGTAGCTTAATTTCCGTATATCGCTGCTGTCTGAACAAAACCTCGCATCTCCATTTTTGTCGTTTTTCAGTTTTTGGCATAGTTTGAAAGTGCCTGTTGCCTTTTAGATTGTACCTAATCTTTATGATAAATGGACCAAAAGAAATGGCCCAAAATTACTTGAAAAGAAGTCTGGTTCCATTGACTTACATTAAAACAAAAGTATGTTTTTCTTTCTCCTGTAAAGTTCTCATTTTGGAGATACGGGGTTTGTTCCAACAGCAGCGATATGCACTCTATAAACTGGGGAGTGAGTGGTGCATTTGGGAACTTTTAACAGTGTTTACATTCTTCAGTCTGTTTTATTTCAAAAGGCAAAGAAAAACGAGATTTTCCATGCTATGAGCCCTTTAAAAATTCACCGTAATACCTTTAAATACTGGAATGAACTCAGACAGAAAACCATGCAGACTGTTCCTTCCTATAAACACAAATGATTACTCTAGCAAGCCTGACTCTAACCTGACCAGAGACCACACACAGAGCCAATGTTTATGTGTGTGTGCGTATGCGTGTGCATGTGTGTGTAGAGTGGGCTTCGCCCCCAGAGAGGAACAACAATGTGTATAATGAAGTGTTTTCTAGGTGTGTGTTTAGTGAGTATGTTATTTACTCCTTTTGTTTATTTTCCTTGTCCTCTTTGTAAGCCAAAAGTATGAAATATGAGGTTACACTTCCTTTTGTTTCTGTCTGTCTGCAGCACTCGTGTTCTCTTCCTGCATATTTCATAGCCCGGCTCCACTCTGCTACAGCCTGCAGTGATTGTACTGTCCTGGCCTCAGGAAAATTCATGGTTGTGTTAGAGGTCTGCACAGGCATGAAATTGAAGCCCGAACCCAACGCCTTCCTGTGACTGAGACCCGAGCCAGCCTGTCCCGACTGTTGGTTCTAAATTCGAAACCCAAACCTGATACAAACCCACGATTAATGTGTCGTAGAGCTAGCCCTGTCACAATTATAACATTTTCGACAGTGATTAATTGCCCTATAAATAATTGCCATAATTACTAACTAGCTGTTGATACACAGCTCTCAACTGACGACAGACACAGCTGGAGCTCAAATAAACAAACATTACTCACCACTGCCACCACCTCTAAAGTTTCAAGTTGAGGTTTCAAGTTTATTTATCATTTGCACTACATGTCAGGACATTTGTGTATTGAAATGCTTGTAGTGAGACAAAGATAATGACTCTACAGCAGGGCAGCATTATATACATTATAGCGTTATATACTAAAAACAGTGCAGACAAAACAAAGTCAAAACACAAAAAGAAAAAACTAAAACTGGAATATAACAAATATACACAAAATATACAGGAGGGACCTATGTAAGAAAAACTATGTAAGAAAGTAACTCTCTGCTATGTACAAATATATTAAACAAGGGATAATCTGAGAAGGATATAGGCCTATATACATTTTAAAGTGATTTAGTGTTATTGTCCGTAGCAGTGATTGTTAGAACCTTTGTTGTTTTCATTAAGACCCATGATGTGTCATTAAACGTGTGTTTTGTATTCTTTTTCTTACATTTATTTGCCTGAACTCAGCTTATAAACACAACTAATTAATATTCTATTTGTTGCATGATTGTGAATCTTACTTACTGTGAAAAATAATGGCAGTCAGCTTATTGTGTAATAATTTGGCAGGCTGATGTGGAAGAGACAGCTTGTCAGTCCTCCTGCTACCATAGCTCAGAACGCTAGCAAAAGCTCTACACTGTACATAACCAGTGTGCTTTTCATTTGATGTAACGACTACATCATAACGTTACCACAGTGAAGACGTCCCTGACTCATTTGGAATTTCTAACCGTTCCTCTTTAGTGAGCTTTCTTTTTATTTCGTGTTTGGGAACAGTTAGTGTAGGCTTTACAGACTACAGTAAACAGAGAGAGAGAGAGCAAGAGTGTGCTAAATTTGCATAGTCCTATTGCTTCAAATACGAACAAATCTACTACATAAAACACACTTATTAGAAAGCAAACCTGAGCTCGAGCTGAGCCTGATGTGTGAGAGCCTGATGTGTGAAGAATCGTCCCGAAACCCAACATTTTCTTTGGTTGCTTTTTAATTCCAGATAATTTTGGAGCATTGGTCTATTGGTCCGTTTGTCATGAAAATTTCACACAATGTAAAAGACAGCTGCTGTGTTTAAACGGTTCAGTGAAAAAAAAATCTACATCTACAAAAATAATAAAATGGAGATTGTACACAGTTATACATTTTGTGAATGTTGTGTTTGTGTTTGATTCTGAGTGTGTGTTTGTATTTGCGGGTGTCTGTGTTTGTGCAGTTGAGTCTGTGTGTGTGTCCTGTGCATTCCACTCTGTGTGTGTGTGTGTGTGTGTGTGTTTGTGTGTGTGTTGGGGGGGCTCTGTGTTTGGCTAGTAAACAGTCTGGTCTGTGCTAACTGAGTGTGTCAGGCCAGAGAAAGCATGGCACTCTGTCTCTCCTTCTGTCTGTCCGTCAGTCTCTTCCTCTCTCTCTCTCCTCTCTGTCTTTTTCTGTCTCTCTCTCTCTCTCTCTCTCTCTCTCTCATTCATTCATTCATTCCCTCTCCTTATCTTTCTCTCTATTTTGCACTTTCTCTGTCTTACTCTATTTCTCTCTCTCCTTTCTTTCTCTCTCCATCCCCCATCTTTCTTTTTCTCTGTCTGTCTTTCTCTTGCTCTCTCTCTTTATATCTCTCACTCCCTTTTTGTCTGTTTGTCTCACTGAAGGCACGAGTCCTTCTGAGTATACTCTCTCTTTTTATTTCTTGTATCATTGGATGACATATTACATCTCAGATCACCCTGTCCCCCTCTATTTTCTCTCTCTCTCTCTCTCCTCTCTCTCTCTCTCTCTCCTTTTCTCTAAACCCTCTTAACACTTCTTTCTCCTTCTCTTTCTATTTCTCTTTCTCTCAGCTCAGCTTTCTCTTATGCCCATATTAGGACCTCTGGGTCTAAGCTGGATTTCTCTTTGGTAAAAATGAATGATCCTTTTGAAAATCATTGCTGTCACATCCTGTAGTAAATAAAAATGCTTCAAATCTGGATGGATGTTTTCCCCCCCAAACGTTGCTGGATCCTATGAATTACAAGGTCATTAAGGAGCTGAAATGAGACTAGTGCTACATGCAAGCTAACACTGCTGTGCACCGAACTGACACCATAAGAATGACAGCCTCACCAAAATACCCCACACAAACCAGCAGCCTTTGGCAAATGTGGCAGTTGCTTTGTTGCTTTGTCAGTGATAGTCTACAGTTTGAGTAGCTGGTATATAACAGTGTTGAAGTTTAATAATAGGCTAACTTTCATGCTGCATCATTTCAATGCAGAGGAGAGTTAGCTTGCTCAGTATGGCTTTATATATGTAGCATTATTCTTATTTTGACTGCCAGTGTACACAGGGCAAAGTGTGTCAGGTTTGAAGCATTTTTATTTACCACAGCAGGCGGCAGTGGCGGATTTTGGAAACACCATTAATTTTTGTCATAGAGAAATCCAGCTTAGACTCAAAGTATGGGCCTGATGCTGACTTCAGATCAATGCATGACTTCAGAGGTCTGTTAAGCTGTAGTGTTGCCAAGCATTTCTGTTTCACACATCAGTCTGTAAACCATTCAGTACACACATTCATGTTCCATCCTACATATCGTCGCTGTCATTTTAGCACCTTCTAACTTCATTTGTATTTTTTTTCCATTTTATTTTTATTTTTCTAACTATTTGAAAACGGTAGTTGGCCTTTACATTGCGTGAATGGACTAATGAAAATGCATTATGATTTTGCATTAACGTGCTTGAAAGTTAAGAGCACTTTTTTCCATTTCCTGTGAAGCAACAGTTTTGAAAATACTATTATTTCGTCAAGACAGCTACAATATAAGCAATATTTTTATACCAGCAGCTAGTGATACCCTTGGCACCATACTATCAGTGTGCTGACTAACCCTCCCTCAAGCTGTGTCATTCTTATTTCACAAGATATTATTATATTTTATAATTTAATTTATCCTCTCTCTCTTTCTGGTAGCAAATGGTGATGAGCCTGCGAGTATCGGAGCTGCAGGTTCTCCTGGGCTACGCTGGGCGGAATAAACACGGCCGTAAGCACGAGCTGCTGACCAAAGCGCTACACCTGCTGAAGGCCGGCTGCAGTCCGGCGGTACAGATGAAGATTAAGGAACTCTACAGGCGTCGTTTCCCCACCAAGTTGGTGTCCCCGGCCGAACTGGCCCTGCCGGGGGTCCATCCTGCCGCTTCACTGCCTGCGGGCCTCACCCAACTGGCCTTCGATGGGCACGGGGCCGCCCCATCCCCCCTGCTGCCCATCTCGCTCCTGGGACCCAAACACGAGCTGGGCCTGCCACACCTTCCCTCCAACCTGCATCCCGTACATCCAGACGTCAAGCTGCAGAGACTGCCCTTCTACGATGTGCTGGACGAGCTCATCAAACCCACCAGCCTTGGTGAGTGTACATGTGTGTTGTTAACAGGGATTAGAAATACAAAACAAAACTGAAAATTGAAATGAACAGCGTTTTTTAGGCCTGCAGCTATTGAATATTATAATTTTCAAATATTCTATCAATATTGATTATTTAAACATTATATAAGAATATGAAAAGTTCAAGATGTTTTACAGTAATGAAATAAAATGATTTTTTTATTTTGTTACCATTAATGTTATTATTATTATTATTATTATTTGTGTGATTGCTGCAATCTATTTATTTATTTATTTATTTTTGTTCATGCTTTTTAATGGTACATGAAATGGTAAAAACATCACCAGTAAACAATACCATAAAATGCTAAAATGCTAATCTGAGGGATCCTACTCCATCTGGTAATCACACGTGTTGTCAGTGCGTGCTACTGGTGACTCACTAGTATTTAGCTTTATAAACAAAACTTTGTTTCTTGTCAGACTGATAATGCATGGAGGTGTGTGGTTTTATTAAAATAGGTATAATTATTATTATTATTCTGATGGCTTTTCTGTTTTTTTATTATTTAATTATCAGATTTATTGAATTTGATCAAATATCTAGTTTTTAGTTTTTCTTGTTTTTTTTTGTTTGTTTAACAGAGTTTAATCAATAACAGGAATGAAATCCAGTGAAAATTTTAACTTAATATCATTATTATTTCATGCCAAATAATTTCCATTGAATCAGGGATTAGACACAAAATATTTTTTATTTTAGTTCATTCTGAACAGAAACAATATTCCACTCCTCTCACAGCGTTCTGCAGCCCCTCTCCAACTGATTACCTGTAAAATTGAATAAAATAATGTAAGATTCTTCCGATTGTAGAGATGGTAAAATACCACTGTTTCTTTGACTGACACCACTATTGAACCCTTTGATTATCAGTCAGTACTGATACTGAGCTAAGCTTTAAAATGATCTATTTTTAATTAAAGCACTTCACTTAAGATAATATAAAAGTAGGTTATCATGCTCAAAGTCCTTAAACACTCTCCTTCCCCACAGAAAGAAATCTAATTATATATTAGGCCTGGTGAAATAACCATAACACCTACTCTGTCACATTTGCTTATATTTAATAAAATAGCATGCCAGTTTGATCCAGTTAAGTTGTATCTCAATTTACTAATTTTTAATTTTGTGAGTTTAGTAAAGCCACCTTGACCGTTTCCAAAAAGTTGTACTTGTTTAAAAGTAGTAGACATTATTAAATGTTGTTAAATTAAATATGTCCCAGCCAGTCAGAGTTCTCAGCCATCCTGTGAGTTATCTGTCCTGTCATAGAACAGCGCCTCCTGTACATACAGAATCATGAAAACTGCAGAGAAAGCTAGCGAAATGGTCGTTGAGGGGGGTGCAGTGGCACTTACTCTTCACAAAGGAGGCTCTAGAATAAAAATGCTTTAGAACCGCAGCAGTAAAGGTTTAACTGGAACGAAATAAAACTATTATAAACTCACCAAAAAAATTCACTCTGGGAGTTCTGAATAATTTTGATCCTTTTTTAAAATCCCTTTGCTTTAATTTTTTTCTCCTTGTTAACTGTTTCTGAACCCGGTTGTTATCCGGTGTGGAGTGGTGGGCTGTATGTGTCTGGGTGGATGAGTGGGTGGTAGTGTGTGGGAGGCAGGTGTGTAGGTTTGGGCAGTATGCCGAAAGTACCATTTTCAGTGATGAACAGCACTAAATGTACCACAGCAAAATTCCATGTGGGTGACAGGAAACGGTGAATAAATGTGATTCTGATTCTGGTGGGCTGCGCAGGGACGGCCATATTTCTCCACTTTAGCATTTTAATGCACTGAGGAGGCTTGCCTTGGACATGTTCATTGGCCTTAAGGGAATTCTGCAAACAGACCCCCCCCGTATTTCTCTCTCTCTCTCTCTCTCTCTCTCTCTCTCTCTCTCTCTCTCTCTCTCTCTCACGTTTTCTCACCATCTTTCTCACTCTCTCTGTTTTTCTTCCTATCGCTTTCTCAGTTTCACTCTCATCTCTCCCCTGTTGCATAGCTAGTCATGAAATTAGAGATACGCACACCAGAGATCCATTTTCTTTCTTTCTTTCTTTTTCTTTCTTTCTTTTTTTTCTTAGTCTCTCTATCTCTCTCTTCTGCCCTCTCTTTCATTTGCATGAAGAGTGATGAAACCAGAGGTTCACACACCTGAGCTCTCTCCACATTCTGCCCAGTAACAATAAGGCTGCATACAAAGCGTAGTACTCCAAAACAATGCCACACTCCCAGCTCTTTCCAGAATATGCATGTGCCACACAAAGCATAGTTAACGTGCTCTTGGATTTTTCTAGAGCTCCATTTTTCTTACCACTGTTTGTTCCCATTGGTCAGTTTTACCTACTGTCAGAATTGAGTAGTTAACTTCATCTGAAATAAGAATTTGATGTACTATGTTAACATTGTTAAAGTTTAAAAACATGCTGTTTACTCTCCAAGTCTTATTGAAAAACCTAACTACTGTGCAGTTTCGAATTCTTCATGGTTGTGATGTAACAACAATGCCTCGTTCAGCCTACGCCAGTTCAGGCCTCCTTTTCGTGAAGAAGTGATAAGGTGTATCGTTACTGCAGACAGTCTACAGCAGAGTTTTTAGAGTGGAAGATTTTGGAGAAGAATGATTAAACATTGTGTTGTCCCTGGCTGTTGGGAAGCAGATCTATCCTTGCAGCCTTTAAGAAGATCCTGGCATCCTAAAGAAGTGGCTGATGTTTATTTTTCTGACGTCCTTAGGGGTTTCAGTGTGAACTAGACTGTTGGTTTAGTACATTTTAACCTGCTCTGCTTTTTAAAGTGGAACAGAGGTCATTACATATAACACTCTTAAAGAAACAACAACCTCTAGGGATTCTAAGGGATAAGAAAAGGGTGAATGTATGTTTTGGTACATAAAATTTTGCTAAGATTATAAGTGGCCTTCAAGGGAAAGAATAAAATAAAATGTAGACGTGGGCTCTTTAATATTAGTCCACTGACTGATTACACTAATAAGTGAATCCAAAATGAAGCCCATTAAAAGACATTCTCCTATTCCTGTGCACTGCTGGAAAAACAAATGTAAGTTGGTAACACGTTCCTGAAGGACAGTGTTCATAAGGCTAAATAACATCTGCATAAGCCTTTCAAGACAACTGATGTAAACCTATAGACATTTATAAAAGTTTATTCTTTCAAGCATCAGTTGACATCAAATGAAATGACATCAAAATAGACAAAAACAACCTTTAAGACAGCTGGCGCTTGTTGGAATAAGCCTTCATAAAAGTTTTAAAGTTGTATCAGTGGTTACGACAGGCTTATGTAGGTGTCAGGTGGCCTTATAAATGCGGCCCTTCTGTCAGTCGCAAGGATTTCATAGAAGCAAAGGTCATTAGTTATGAAGGACAGCAATCACTATTCTTCAAGACGATCAAGACGATTAACAGTAGTTTTTATCAGCCACTATCTTTTGGGCAGAGTGTTAACCGCAAGCATGGTAAAACCTTAAAAAGTATTGACACCCTCCTAGTTTCAGATTACTCCACCCTTAGTTTGGTTTATAAAAATGCTCAAACAGGGAGGGACGCTTTGGACCGTTTGTGAGGGAAAGAGGGTGGGCACGACAGTGTAAAAAAAGTAAAGAGATACTCTTAGCTTTATGCTAATAGAATCCTGAAAATCCAATAGACAGGCTAGCAGAAATTAGCATTATTGCAGCAGTGGTAATTTCTCAAATATAGATGAAAAAACATTACATTGCCTCCTTTTTCCAGGATGGTTTGTGTGATTTGCTGTGGCAGTTTCTCACACAGACAACATCTTACTTAAATTATAGCGGTGTTTTCTTAATCTGTTCTCATATTTCAAACTCGTATTTGTTCAGCGCAGTGATAGGCAGACATTGTCATGAGGAGCGGTAACAGTGCTCAAGTGATCTGCGTACTGTAAGTGGGTTTACATGCACTTAAACGTCTGAGAAAATTGTAATCCGATTAATGTGTTTATATGCACTTAGGTAGGTAATCATATAGGTAATCAGATAATAATCGGATTTCTGCTTTGAATGAGTGAATAAACTCACAGAAGAAGACGTGATGTAAATGTAACAAACTCAAACTTCATGCTGTGGCTTACATTGCGCCACTTTACCTGAAAATATGAACATGCATCGTCTAGAAAATAAAGAATACTTAAATCCCTCATTTTGTCAAGCAAGTGTTTGGTTTCATCATCGTTCCAAAAAGTGTTTTGCTGCTATCTCACGGCAACACTGCTTTCTTATTTCCGGTCTGTTTTCACACATGCGCAGACTGAGAAATCTGAAAGAAATCGGAGTAAGATTTTACATGCGCTGAGAAATCTGATTACTAAGCTAAAATCCAGCTCTCTTTATTGGATTTCTTAATCGGGTTTCTAGATCGGTGTATGCTGTTTACATGACCATTTGAATAATCAGATAACTGCCGAAATCCGATTATGATCGGATTACTGAGTGCATATAAACGCACTCATAGATTCACGCTCCAGTACTGGTCTGTGTAATGCTCGCCTATAGTAGGGTTGATTCAGAGGGGGCGCTGCAGAGACTGAATTGACCACAGTAATGATATTTTGACTGTTTGAAAAGAAGTGTTAAAAAAACTGATGTCATTTGTTATTACAAAGCAGTATATTTAAATTTTTAATAAAAAAAATCAGCTTTAGTAATTAGTAGTAATCAGCTTGTTGTAATTACTGTTTAAAAAGCCCTGAAACGTGCTGTACTCATGTGTCCTCTTCTAACAGTCCAGAATGTTCTAGAAGAGGAACAGCATGCTCTTTCCACTCACGCCACAGATGCTGTGTTCAATATTCTCTCTCTCTCTCTCTCTCTCTCTCCCCTCTCCATCTCTGCCTCTCCCTCGCTCCCTCTCTAATGCTCTCTGTCTCTGCCTCTCTTTCTCCCACTCTCTCTCCCTCTATCTCTCTCTCTGTGCTCTCTGT